GACTTAACCCTGAGCCTAAACCCCTAAACTGCCGTTTTCAGGCGGCGCACTACTTGTGGCCGCCTGACAGTTAGCCCGGACCACTTCTCGACGCCCCCGTCGAGGCCTGTTCTCTCACGTCAAACGAAACGGACGAGCTTCAGGATAATGGCCCGTAAAGGGCGCCCTAGTTGGCGTTTAATTACCTTATGTTTTAGTCTGCTCCTGGTCCTGGGGCTAAGCGGATGCTTCCTGACTTTCCTTTCCCGCCGAGTCCTCGGGCTTGGCAGGATCCTCCCTTTGTTCTGTCGTTGGCCCGAGGAGGGTGCTGCACCGCCAGTCTGCCGGATGCGGACTCTTCGTTTGACCCTCGTAAGCACGAATAACCATCCCTTCTTTCTTCCCAGAGCCAACCCTTTGACCTTTCTTTTTTCCACCCTTTTCCTCTTCTTGGAACTCTCTCCTGCCTCATATCGCCTCGGGGGAGTTCCATCCTCCATCTTGGCCTTCCCTCTCCCGGCTAACGACAAAGCGGCCTCGGGCCTGGGCCTAAATTGCAATAATTGCCGATGGGAAAGGAATGGGACTGGTGCTGCTCCATAGAATGAGAATAGGGATGGGAACTTTAAACTTTTCAAGTTTCTAACTTTTTGTTTCCATTTTGGAATTCTTTGGGTGTTCCCATGTAAATTTGAGCGGAGAGAGAATAGAGTGAAGTAAGATTTCTTGGAAGTCTTGAAAATATAAAATTGAGATTGTGTTGGCCTGTTGCAGATCGGTTGCGCGCACGAGCCAGCCTCCCCGAGGACGAAGTGAGTGGCAGCGGATCAACAAGAACGTCAACAACATTGTATTCAGAACAAGGGGAAGAGGAAGACGACAACAGGTCAGCCGCTGACTTAATGGTGGATGGGATTTCATTTGGACAGCTCTGTGATAACTTCGTGTGTATAAGCAGCCCTGCGGTAGAAGCCACGGCAAGACTGTTAGCTAGAGACATTGCCAATCTCAAGGAGGGATCACGACAGACGGTCGTCTTTGCTGTCTCCGTCAAATACAAGGTATATGTGTTGCCTGTCAGCAAGACTGCAGAATATGGATAATAAGGAGGAGGAGGCAGAGGAGGAGGGGGATAGCGGAGTGCAGTTGGAGTGCGGATCGCTGGTTATCGTACAGATCTGGACAGTCATTCCTTCTGATGCCCAGAATCACTAGATCGCTACCTGTACTCTTGTCTTCTTCTACCTTTCCGTCCGTCCGTCTGCCTGCCTGCCTGCCTGCCTGCCTGCCTGCCTGCCTGCCTACCTGTCTCTGTCTGTCTGTCTGTCTGTCTGCCATTCGGTCAGTCGCTCCGCACTCAGTTGGTCTCGATCGTTCTGTTTGTCTGTTTGTCTGTCTGTCTGCCTCCGTGCCTAGAATCACTTCAGAAACTACGATGTGTGTGTCTATCTGCCTTTGTCTTTCTGTCTGCATGCCTGCCTGCCGGCCGGCCTGCTTGTCTGTCTCTCCATCGGTGCATCAGTCAATCTGTGTGTGTGTCTTTCTGGCTCTGTTTGTGCCCCTTCCCCTCGCAGCACATCATGATTACCAGCCCTCTCTAGGTTTCCTCTTCCATCTGTGTCCTCCCAGGCCGTACTGTTTTTTTTTTTTTTTTTTTTTTTTTTTTTTTTGTGCGCGTGTGTGTGTGTGTGTGTGGGTGTGTGGGTGTGTGGGTGTGTGGGAATGTGTGCGCGTGTGTGTGAGTGTGTGTCCGCGCGTGTGTGTGCACTTGTAGTTTTCCATGCACGGTTAACGCAGGCAACAACACATTTCTATGTTGTGTGCATGTGCATTTCTATGCTGTGTGCATGTGCAGGACCCATTGCGCTCGTTTGAAGGGAGGGAAAAGTATAGGCGAATGATTTTTTTCCGCACCGCCTTGGACAACCCATCAGTGGTGAGTTTTACCTGCGCAGCAAATCCCGTCTTCATTTCCTTTCCCCTTCGTCCTCTTGGCGTCATCCTTAAAGCCCTTCACTTCAGTTTAACCAGATGTCCTCTGTGAAAAACATGGGGGGAAAAAATGACAGTTTCCCAACGTCGGCAGAAGAAAAGTATTGCATGATTGATGCCAGTGTGTCCATGGGATAACATGGCAGTTTGTTGGGCAATGCAGGACGCACAGTGTCGGTGTCGAGAGATACTTTCCTGAGCATTGACATGCGTAGCAGCCTAAAGTGTGGTTGCACATTGTGGTGTCTGCGTCGACGACCTGTAGTTGGGAGTGTGTGACTGGGTACACCCTACTACACCGGGACGAGGAGAAATCCATTGTAGCCTGGTAGGTGGGTTTAAGTGCTCATCTTGGGGCTTAACTTTCACCCGACTCCACTGAGCCGTTTGGTTGAGTGTTTGCCTCCTAAGAGGGATATTGCGCGTTCGATTCTTGTGATCGACTGGTGAGATGCTTTCTCGAGCACCGGGAAGCTGAGGTGCGAGCAGTCATCGCTTGCTACCGACTTCTCGCCGCCGACTACGGAATTCTTGTGTTTCACTGCCAGCTTCTTGTCACCACTCCCTGCCGCCTTCTTGCCACTGACTATCGAATTCTTGTGATTCGCTACCGACACCTCTTTTTTTTTTTGTGGGGACAATGCGCCGATCTATTCGTGGGGAGCACCACGTGCTGGGAACCGGGTAAACAGTTGATTGTCATACAGACAAAAACAAAAACAAAACAAAAACAAAACAATTAAGTGAAAAGTTGAAAACACTGAAAAGTTACGTTATATGAAACTCGATGTCAGTTATTTGGCCTTCAATCAATTGACGGTAACTTTGGGCCTTGCCACACGGCGCATGAAACGAAAAAGAAACGAGTGCATCTGGCCAGGAAAGGTGACAACATACACTCGTTATTATTTATAGTGAACCAATGAACCTGGACATTTTCTGTGGGAAGATGCACTCGTTTCGTTTTTTGTTTCGTGTGCCGTGCGGCGACGCCCTTTGTCTTATGAAATGAAATCCGTTCGGAAAAGCAAAGCAAAAAAAAGTTAAAAAAACACCAAAATGATTCGGGAGCAAAGCTGTATGAAAAACAGTTGCTGAAAAAGGAAAGCCACTCAAACAATTGACTTTGAGTTTCAAAAAAAAGGCGTCTGCTGGACGAAATTCCACAGGTCGTATGACCCTTTTCCATAAACGCTCCCACACAAAACGATAGCAGCGAAGAATTGACTTTTCAGTGTTTTCACAAGTTTTCAGCGTAACACTTTGTTGATGGGTAAGGTAGAAAGAATCGAATATGATCCAAATCGTTCCTCTTGGATTGGCCTAGTACGCGTACGCTTGGTACTCTGGATCTACCCAACCCCAACATCAAACAGCATCTACCAGACTTCTTGTCACTCACTCACTATTGCTCGCGTGTCAGTCGCTACTGATTTCTTGTCGCTCACGACCACCACCTTTTTTTTTCTGAAAAAAAAAGGGGTTGCGGGTGGCAGGATCGGGCTTTCTATGGCACAGCCAGCCTGGGGGTGACTGGTCATCATAACTCCCTAACACCCTTTCCAGGATATAGAATTGCATAATTAATACCCTCCCTTTAAGGAACTCCTCTCTCTCTTCTTTCCCCCCCCCTCACCCACCTTTGTGTCTGTGTGTGTGTGTGTGTGTGTGTGTGTGTGTGTGTGTGTGTGTTGTGTGTGTGTGTGTGTGTGTGTGTGTATCTTACCCCAACTTCTGTGTGTGTGTCCTGTTTCTCTTCTACAGGCACTGGAAGGGATGGAAATGCTCTCGACGGGAACCCTGATGATTAAATGGATAGTGACAGGGGCACCAAGGCTTCCTCCGGCCTCAGTGGTTGGTGGAGATGTTGTCCTGCGTGTCAAGTCCATCTTCCAACTCAACCAGATCACGGGCCAGGTCACAGATCACGAGGAGGTATGGGATTTGACAGGGTCGTCCCCTCTTGCTATTGCGTATTTCTACGCTACACGGCTGGCATTCAGCTCAGTGGAAGCTGGAAATGATATTTCCAAGTCAGCAGCTGCAGCTTGGAAGAACATCAGCAAGTCACAGGAGCCACAAGACCCTGTATATTACAGTGATCCAAACGACCCCCGAAAGGTGAGTGCCGACCCCACTGCCATCATTCAATCAGCAAACAACAAATGTGGGGCGTACAGGAAGACACTAACAGTCAGGTGTCATATCTCACCTCTCATCTATCCTCACACCCAATGTCATGTACTAGCTAGGCTCGAAGGTTGCTTGCTCTACCTCCCCTCTTCTTCTCATTACACGGTCTCCTTCTCATCCTCCTACTGTCCACTGCTATAATTGTTGTTTTTGTTGTTCTCCTCCTCCTCCTCCTCCTCCCACCCTTCTCCTCCTCCACGAACTCCTATTCTTCCTAGCTGTCTTCTCCCTCTTCTTCCTTCCCTTCCTCATTTCTTTCTCCTTCTTCGCTTTTCCCTCTGCTGGGTTCCTCTCATCTCGTTCTCGCCTCTGCAGAGTGCTGCACTTCCCTTAGCTTTGCCCGCATGCACACACTACTTTCGTCAACGAGATGGTAATAGAAGGGACGACATCAGTTATGGGATCCAATGTCTTTTCGTTTGCGGCTTTACTCACTGAAGTCAGGCCTCCGGCTTCACATACTCCTTGTCCTGAGGGGTGATACAACCTGTGCGGCATTTGCATGGATGTGTGGCCCCTTGTCCCCTAAGCCTGTCTCTAAACTGGTGCCCCTCATGTCACTTAATTTTTTCACACGCCTGCTGCACCGGTGCTCAGTTTTTTTTCGCAAACCTGCTGCACTGGTCGTTCTTTTCACGAACCCAACAAAACATGCTTGGACCATCATCTCCCACCTGTCTTGGTCTTTCCAATTCCGCTGATCTGCAAAGGGCAGATGAGTGTGTAGTACTGTGTACACCCAACTATCTGGACCGACTCTGCGGTGACTGACGAGTCGTGACAACTTTTATTTATACGAGGACCCATCTTTACTACTGGCAATGCAGGACGGCGGACGCCACTGCCGTGCCAGTGCAACATGCTTGTCAGTTTCTTGTTATTGTTGTCATTCGCCGTTTGGGCGATCTCCGACATGGGAGGATGACTCTATTCCACCCTTCCTGGCCATGTTGGGGGGATGAGGCGCAGAACAATTTCCCAGGGGCGTTGAAGGGGTAATCGCACTGGTAAGAAGTGAATGGGGTCTCACTTCTACCCCCAATGAATGGTAGCACATTCATTTATTTTTTTCTGCAATGCAACAAATGCATGCCGCCCGGCTGCGATTGCTGTGCTGACGCGGCATGTAATTTGGAGATACCGTACATTGGATCAAGAGTTAAGACAGAACCAGAAGACGAAGAGAATTCGTGGCCTGACACTTGGGTTAACAGGCATGGAGACTGGACGCTCCGAAGTTGCTACGGTAGTCGACTACCGTAGCAAGGGAAGTAGACGAAGAAGAAACAGAAAGAATCTCACAGCACACGTGTTGGCGTCAGTACTGCAGTCCAAACAGCACTGTACATACTACATCGTCCTTTCTTTTTTTTTTTTTTTTTTTTTTTTTT